CAATAAAGTATCAGTGGTGATCATCTACCATTAGCCCCCACGTGGCTTACAAACCTCATCCAGCAGTCAGGAAAAGAAGCCAGCCCTTAAAACCACTAAGTACACAGTCAAGCCTGGATAAAAATCTGCTTTGGGTCCATGCCTGCAGAACCTAGCCCTGATGGTGCACGGGGCACAACCAAGGCACTCGATGCGACGTAGCACACAGCTGTCAGGTTACACTTGCTGCTGTAGAGTGGCACAGGGAGCAAGCAGAAGCTTTAAAGCTCTCCCTCCTTGTTGACAACTGCGCTCAAGTTCCTCCATTCAATAGGTTTAAAGAGCCACCAAAGTGGCCGCAGATGAATGTAGAGATTTGAGAGACAGCAACTAATTCTTGCCCACCCTACTTCACAGCCAGACAGACACAACCTAGCGAGGGTCCCATGGAAACACATACCAGAGGTCAAGCAGCAGCAAGTTAACAACCTTCAGCCAGCTGCTTATGCTGGTAGTGCTTATGCCGTCTCTCAGAAAGACCCCGGTGCAATAGCACTAGAGGCAAATATGGATTACTAACCTGCTCAGCAGCTGCTCTGAATGACACCTCCCCACCCCTCTGCTGAGGGCACCAGCCACACACCTGAATCTCCCTTCTCTTCCACTCCCAAGCCACTTTCATGAATCCTCTGCCTCCCACCTCCCCAAAACCTGCAGACATCAAAGGCACCTGCCTTGAACACCTGAAGAGCAAGGGGGGGCCTGGCGGTCAAGAAATGCAACTCTGTGTCTTCCCCTGCCACGCACTCGTTTTTTTTTTTTCCCCCCATCCCTTTGAAAAAGGTGGCAGAGATAAATGGAGAACAAAGAAACAAGAAAAAGCCCCAGCTTTGGCCCACACCCTGCCTATTACTTAAGGGGGAAGGAACTCTTCCGAAAGAGGAGGAAAAAAATGTGCTCAGACACAATGGCTCAAAAGGGCAGGCAGCAAACCGGGCCACTTTGTACTGCTAACAAGGGAAACCTAATTACAGGAAGAGGGCAAAGAGGGACAGATAAAAGGGATACAAAATTTCAACATCTGTTGCCATAAAGGGATAAGAAGTGGGGAAACGCAAAGTGTCAGTTTGGTGTCAGTGACGGCGTAAAGCCACTTTCAAAGGGCTCGGGAGAGGGAGAAAAACTGAACGAGAAATTAGAGGGTTCTTAAAAAAAAAAAACACAACACACACACTCCGCCAAAAATGCTTTCAAAAGGGGGGAGGAGATGGACAAAGAGTGGATATTTAAAAGGTAGAGGATCTGGGGTGGCTTGCAGGGCACAGCTAAGTTTGGCTCGGTTTACACAAGGGCTCTCGTGCCCTACGCCTGTCCCGTTGTGTCACAGGGAAGGACAATGTAGGACTGGTGCACTCCAAGTGTTTACAGCTCAAGGGCTACCACAGCAGGTCACTGGTCCACTTCAAACATCAGGCTTGGCAGAAGAGCTCCAAGAGCTGCTTGAGAGCAAGATCCAGAGTATCCTACCTTGAGAAGCATCTCTGACAGGGGTGTTTGGCTCCTAAAGACACGCAGACCACCACGGGAGGCTGGGGAGCAGTGGTACTCTGCAGGCAAGGGATAAATGCTGGCTTTGGAGATGTTTCCAGTGGTGTCACTCATCTCCCAAGCAGTTAGGAGAGAGGTTAGGCTCCCAAATGAGACATGAGGTGGGAAGAGAATGAGGAACAGGATCTGAAGAAAGTTTCCTTCTCTCTTGCTTGCCATTAATGGACTGTTTCGTTAAGTCACACACTAACACTCCCTGACAAGACAGGAAGGTCCAAGCAGAGAAAGACAGGTGCACAGGGAACAGAGGAATGTGACCAGCAAAAGGGGCAGCTGCCATCATATCCCTCACTGGCACAGAGAGCCAAGGGACCCTGCAAGAGGCCAAGGAGTCAGCAAGACCTGAGACTCGACGCAAGGAGACAGGTTGGTACCCAGGGGACCCTACTACTCATCTTTCTCCTTTCCTGTGCAGACCTCTAATCATCGAAGTTACTCACAGCCCCCTCAAAAACACACACCTTGATCCTGCGTAGCAGGAAGCACGCAGCATCTTCCCCCACATCTAAAGGCAATCAGGTGGCACAGTGCAGCATCTGTGGGATATATCCTCCAGAGGTGCAGCTAGTCAGCTTCAAAAGAAAAAGAAGAAAAAAAAAAAAAAGTTCTCCTTCATTACAGGAGAAAGGGCCAGGTGTAGCAGCAGCTGGAATTTCAGCCATCAGAGACGGTGTCTTGGCATTACGCAGTCATTCCCCTGCTTTCGACTCCCTTTGACAATTGCTTGTTGCTGCCTGTTCCAGCTTTGATCCAACACCACCATGAGCAGAGTCAGAAATGAAAGACAGTTGTGGGGGTGGGATGCAGCAAGAGGCATTTCCTTTCCCCACCAAAAATCTCCTCGCCTCCCAACCCAACCAGCCTTTCTCAAAGCCCGGGACATGTTTCCAGGTGAAGACATTATCCCTTTTCTCTCAGAGGGATGAGAATGGCTGCCCCAGGGTCAGGGAACAGCGAAGGTCATAAATACGAAAACACACCATGACCAACAGCTACAAGCACTAGCCAAGGACTTATCTGGCCTGGAACTAAGAAGATCAGTACACAAAAGGTTATTTAAGCTCTAAATCCTTTTGTAGCATGTTCCAGCTCTCAGCTGCTGGGGGAAAAGACCACCTACCCAAGGGAAGAGAATGCCACAGAAACTGCTGCAGTGTTACACACCCCTCCATGCACCAGCTAACTAAACTAACTCTGAGGTCTTGGCCAGCACCAAATACCAAAGTGGTGCTAAGGATCCTACAGTTTTAAGGAATGGCTGAAGCATCACTCTCCCCTGCATCATTTTTTTTTTTTTTTTGCCAGAAGTTGCCTGGATTCTGCTCTTAGGGACACATTCTTGCCACGTTCAGTTTCTGTGGGTCAGATTCTGGCTCTTCATGACCACAAGAAAGGGGCAAGCACCTCACCGCTAGGGCCTGGATAGAGCCTGGCTGCATCTGCACAATGCTATCAGGGCACATTGGGCATAGGAAGAGTTTTTCAGTCCTGTATAGCTCTAAGATTCTGAGTTTCTATGTCATGCTCCCACTTCCAGAGTCTCAGCAGATAGAAAACATGCATGAGCCCCAAAGGAAGAAATCAGCATTTCCCTCCAAGATCGCTTCTAGCAACCACTGGAGGCTTTGAAAAAGTGTTTAAAGCTTTGCTGGGAAGAAGAACCATTTATGGAGAAGCCAAGACCTACAAGGACAGCTCCGTACTCCTTCACTATGAACGATCACATCAAGCATCACATGCCAGCTTCCCAGCAGTGCTCCTTACCCAGCCTCCTGCCCTGCACGTGCTGACAAGACTCCCGGCTCGTGCACAGGTCCCCAGAGAGGAAAAGCCCCAGTGGCATGGTGCATTCCAGCTGTGACAGGTGAAGAGGGAAGAATAAGTTTGACACTCCAGCCATCGCCACAGAGGCCCAGTAACCTAGATTGCCTTGGCTTTTTTATTTGCCTGTCACTCAGGCTTTGACATTATTGAAAGATCAAACTCCGTTGTGCCTGTTCATTACCTTAATCCTATTTTCTACACAGCTTTATTATCTCTTCAGGCTTCCTCGGGAGAGGCTGTGGGGCAGGGGGAGAGGGTTGCCTGTCTCCTCGCTGCTGTCAGATGCCTCTATTGAAGAATCGCCAGGGACTTGATGGGCAGGGGTATCACAGCACAGCCTGGATCCTTCTGGGGTACTCCAGGCACCACCGCACTAGGTCACCAAGAATGCAGGGGAACCGTGTTTCCCACTCTAGTTTGTCCTTTGCAGGATGCACCTTTCGCCAACCCTTTACTTTTACTACAGAGAAAAAGAAACAAACTGCTTTATATTTCCAGTTGATGCAATAGACTCAGACAACCTAAACTATGTCAACTACAGATTAGAAGACAACTGGCTTCAGACCAGCCTTGCATCCCCACCAATCTTCCTGTACCTCCCTTCCCCAAATACAGCCCTGCTGACACCTCTCGGGCCCCTTCTCTGCCATTGTCCCCCACACCCCTCCCCTCCCCGACCTCACCAGTTCTCCCTAATCCTGACAGCACTCCCTTGATAATCTGTGCTGTGCCACTCCTACCCAGAGCATACCAGTCCCGGAAAGTTGAGCTGCCGTTCAATAATCCTGCCAAATATTTGCTATCTGTCCATCATTACACAAAGACCCGCAGGCTAGGAGTTTCAAATTTGTCAGCAGTTGAGTTTCGCATCGGGATTTGAGCCCGACATTTCCCCGGTTGTTAAGGTCAGCACCTTTACCAAACAGGAACTGCTCAGTGGCCCCAAAGCAGAGGCCACAGCAATTAACCTCCAATGCTTATTAAGACAGGGAGAAGACAACATGCCTGAGTCATTTCAGCAGATAACCTGTTGCCACCCCTCACCTCCCCGAGCTACCAGAAACACCAGCCAGGAAAAGATGAGTGTAGATACCGCATTCCCATCTGGCTTCTCAGCACCATGGACAAGTTTGCAAATGGAAGGATTCAGGTCACGTTCCTCACTCCTCGATCTGATAGAGGAATGCAAAGATGCAAAGGAAGTTGTAATGGGTGTGTTCTGATTGTACAGGGGTAGTGAGAAGAAACCAGGCACAACACAAGCATCTTCATCGGGTATCAAGGATGGCTGTGCCATAAACCGGGAGACAAAAGCGGAGCTGCTCCCTGCTGAACCAGAACCACCCCACCACACCTTTCCAGCTTGGTTTTTGTTTCCCTGACATCTCATGCTTAAACATCTCTTGCCTTTACAGATTACAAGAATGATCCTGTGGCATCTCCAACATTGCATTTCTCATTGATACTTACCTCTCCCCAGCCAAGTCCTTCCTCATAACATGGAAGCTCACTCACCTCTCAAAGTCCCAGATTCTCAGAGGCGAGGTGTGTCCACAGCAGGCTGTCCCCGTCACAAATGAGCTGTTCAAAAACAAAACAAACAAAAACACTTACTACTCCTCGTGTTCTGAAGAAAGAGTGTGAGCAAGACAGAGAACATGGGCTGCAAGGCAGGCTTCAAGGCTTTGAATTCTGGTTCAAGACTATTTCAGTATATTCCACCACATTTCACAAGAGCAGGCAGAAAAGTATTTGCATGTGTGGATGGAAAGCCTAAAACAGGAACAGCTGTAAATTGCAGTGATGTTTTCAAAATCTTACTGTACTCAGGACATTTCATACACTGTCAGTGCTGTCAGCTGCAGGAACACCCCATGGAAAATTCCCCATTAATTTTCAATTCATGTCATGGCACATACAACTTCACTGCACAACCATGAATTGGCTGCAGCGTCACAGGCCTAACAAATCACAGAATGGAGGTCTCCCATCCAACCTGCTCAAAGTAAGGCCGATTTCAAAGCTGGATCAGGATGCCCTCTCCAGTGCTCAAGCACTCTCTACCAGAGGCATCAAGATTTGTCTCAGTTCACACTTTCCAGCAGGGCCCGTTACAAAGAACTCTTGGTGATGCCGCATCCCTTCTCCACATGTAGCTCCAGAGGTTGCCTGACAGTCATTGGCCTCAAACTAGTTTTTAAGAGAGGAACAAATCCTTAAATTAAAGCAGCAAGAAAACATGCTTGTTTTGTGACAGCTACCCATCCTCAGACAAAAATGAGAAACTAGCTCATACAAAGATTTCTAAGTAAACTATAAATGACCTCTCACAAAGCCACAGTTATTGCAGCTACTGAGAATAAAACACCAAAACTATGTTTAAGTCGTTGCAACAAGGATAGCACAAATGCAGGAAATGGGGCCTGCTTTAAATAAAAGCTGCCTCTCTGCTTTGCCTAAACATCTTCTGCAGCGTGACATAGGGGATGGAAGCTCAAAGAGGAACGCAAAATAAGGAAATGTATCGTGTCTGTAAAAATAGTAGTTTTTAAATATTTTGTTGATCCCCTACAACGTTCTTCCTTTTGAAGTCAGACGGTTTCTCCAAGCCTCTAATGTAGTGGGAATGGATTCTTGTCCTGTACTTCTGTGAGAAGCACTGCTGGCGTTAGGAGGCATCCAGCAGCAAGGCAGTGAACACGCATTCGACTTGATCAAAGCCAGAGAAGAGTCATGAGGAAGCCAGGTCAGATCTCAGGACTCTTTACTCCCAGCTCCATGTTTTACCTGAGCAATTGGTTTCTCCAAATCCTAAGGCTGAAGGCAGCTATCACCAAACCATCTCAACCAAACCATCTCAAAGAGCTGAGAGCCCAAGGAAAAGTCTCTTAAAAGCTGATTCCTGTTGTGCAGCAGCCCTGAGGGCCAAATAGGAAAGCCTGCAGCATTTTGCACTTGGAAATAGGGTTTTTGCCCAACACCTGCCTTCCCTCCACCAAGCACAGCACATTCCCCTCTCGCCAACATCTGGCTCAGGTGTAACCAGCAAAAAGGAGTCACCCTGACAGCTCACCAGGCAAACCCCGTGTCTGGAAAGCAGCACTTTGGTCAGGGAGTCCTTCAGCTACAAAGCTAGGTGTTGGGTTCTGTCCCTCCCTCCCCAAACATAATCCATTAATAACTCCTAAAGCCAATTACCGTGGTTAGAAACATAATAGCAGTCAGGGAGTCAGTCAAGCAGGCAATTGGGTGCTTAAGATTTTTCTTTTGGGGGACAAACTGACTTTGTCCCAGCAGAGAACGCCCTCACGTGGGAGACAGGCCCCTTTGTGCAGAAGGTATGCAGCCAGGCTTTGATGGTTGCCACAGGTCTAAATTAGCATGGAGGCACACCAACAGGGAGAGAAAGGTGGGAGGAACGGCAAGGTCTAATCCCCGCTCATGCTGTCAGTCCTGGACTTCAGCTTTCCCTCCTCAGTCCTTATCCCCTACCCTCCGAAAAAAAAGAAAAAAAAAAAAGAAAAAGAAAAAAGGGAAACAAAAAACATTAGATGAAGAGATTTCTCCCCAGCATCACGTACAGGCCTCAGGGCCACAAACAAGTCTCTTCTGGGTAAAGCTGCCTTCATTCAGTCAACAGGAATTTTCTCTCATACTTCAGCAGGATCAGGTTTGCAAACCTTATCTTTAAAAGGCTGGAGCCCATTAGCAAGCAAAGATAAGACTTCTCCCAGAAGAGTGGGGCATCTTCGCTGCCAGGATTAGAGAGCAGCATTCACAAAGCACGCACAAAGCAGTGGTGCCACCGAGAAACTGTCAAAGCCTGGGAGCAAATGGAAGGGGAAGGCTGGATTCCCAGGGCCCCCAAGCCTGGCCTGCAGACAGACAGCTTCAATCCTCAGGTCTCTCAAATTGGGAACCTCTCAGAGGTGAGGGGTTTGCTCCAAGCAGAAGGAGCAACACAAGAAAACTTGGGTGGGTCTGACAGCACGCAGGCTGGAGCTAAGCACGTAAAGCTTGTCTCCAAAGCCTCTGGAAGTGGAATGGAAACCTTCCACCAGGCTTACTTCTTTCATTTTGCCTTTTAACACGGCTTTTTGTCTTAGAAGCACAGAGCATGCACCAAAAACCTCTGATCTAGAGAAGTGCAATCTCTTCACAGCTGTTCCTGCCAGCTGCCAAAGAGAAATAACTCCAACTGAGCTGCTAAAAAAAATAGTACACAAACAGGACAGAATAAGTCTTACTCTCTGACTTAATAAATGTCATTTATTTTGCCTTCCAGCGCTTTCAGAGTCAGGGATTGAAGAGACACTGGACTGGGAAGTAGAAAGCACAAGATAACCTATATATGATACCACAGGGATGACCCACGGCTCAAGTACGTGGTACTGCTGTACACAGACAGTGACCAGATGTATTTTTGTACTCCGTAAAAACTGCTGTGCCCAAGCTTCGGTCAGGCTTGTGGATGCAGTCTCTTTCCCCACTATGCTCTCCTCTGCCATGTAAAAGCCACTATGTATGCTAGAGAGGAGATATTTCAGAAGAGATCATCCCTCCACTACAGAAGCTGTGCCAGGGGACGGATGACAGAGAGTGCGTATTTTGGCAGTGCTGTTGTCCATCCAACTGACTTGTGGTCACTGATGATCCCATGGCATTTCTGGCAACAGCAGTTGTAGGAGTAGAAGTTGTAGTTTCTGGCAACAGCAGTTTCTGGCTAAAATGCAGCTGCAACAGTCCCACGCCTGCTCCTAAAATACCAACAACAGCTTCAACCCACCTGTAGCACCTTTCTTTACCCCATGCTGGACAGATGTGGAAGAACCAGGGGAAGGAGGTAGCAGCACATCAGTGTTTTCTAAAGGATTCTCTTTGTCATGAAGCTGGGGAATGGTCTCAGCTCCAGTGGTGCAAACCCCGTTGTACACTACATACCTTCCTCAGCGTCAGCCCAGCCTTCAGAGCAAGTGCTGCCTGAGCTGGGCATCCCACAATGTGGACATTGAAGGAACCTGGGTGAAACTGGTCCTTTCCAACCTCTTCTCAGCTTCCACCGTGCTCAAGGCTTGCGCCCTGTAGTGTTACCGGATTGCTTCCCAAGTCCCATTCTGCTTTTCACAGATTTTGAACCCAGAATCTGCTTGACACGTGCAAGAGCCTGTTCCTTCCTCCTTGCCTGCTCTCCCACCCCTTGGAACTGGACATCGTTGTTCCATTTTGGAGACTGTTCGACATGGAGACTCATCAAACCAGGAAACAAAGAAGTTATTACTTGACAGAGCCCCGCAGCTGGGAATGTAGGAGGCGGGGGGAGAGCTGGGGGAGCACCGAGGGAGACAGGACAGGGGGGCTGGCAGCAGCGTTGTGAAAGCCATCGACAGAAAGGATGGCTCAGAGATGGGAAACGTTTTTTTTATGGAGTCTCAAGTGGGATGAGAAAAGGAGGAGAAGAGAAAGCAAGGCCAAAAAACGGAGCGCGGAGCAGAGGAGAGAAAGCAGTTGGTGCCGACGGTGCCGCGGGTTAAGCACACGGGTCTGTGGGTTTGTGTAGCCTTTGATTCAGCACTGACACGCTTTGGCAAGGGAGGCCACCAGAGCTGTCAAATCCTTCACCAACGTGCCCATCAATTGTATTCAGCTCTTCCCGACCCGCACAGGCATTTTAATTACTGTTGGGTAAACTAATTTGTACAAATGAAGGCAACTCTGCCTAATAGAATATGCAAGCTCTCTGACCTCTGACAGGCGATGACACAAGATACAAAGGAGGCAGAGGAAGGCTTTTTATCAGAGCCTTATTACTCTCTATTACTCCAATTAGTTAAGCTCCAGTGCTCCTAATTGGGGGAAAAAATTGCAATTAAATCAATTTTTGATGGGCTGAAAGTGGGTTACCGAACCGCCCTGCCTGTGAAACACTGATATTATAGCAGCAAAGGTCAAAGTCTTTGTCGGCACCTGTGGGGCCCCCACCTCCCCTCTCCGAGCCCCTCTGTGCCCCCCCAACACACACACGCAGCTCGCTAGGGCGAATCATTAGAACATGTCATGTCTTATCGCGGCCGCCAGCATCCCGCTAACCTCATCGGTTGACATCGTTACAGAAGGTAACTCCTCCGGCATGAATGCAGTGCTAAGGTCACACAAACTTGGTGGAGCCCCCGCTGAAGGGCCCGGGAGGCTGGGGAGCAGATGCAACAGTAGCAACATTGTGAAGGGGAGAGAAAAGGGGTAGGATGCTCGGCACGGCGAGTTTCGGCACCTCCAGCGCGAGGCTTCTCCAGCAGAGCAGATGCACACAAAGGAAGAGGGATGGGGACAGTGGGGGAAGCAGGTGCTCCTTACCCAGAGGCATTTAACTTGCAGAAGAAGGAAAAAAAAAGTGTGGCATCATTTTTTTCTTCTCCACAAATGTGCAAAAATTCCCACCAGCCTTTTATTTGTGCAATGCTGGACAAAGCCAGGATCAGGTGGGCAGGCAAGCCTGGTGTTGCCCCTTCATTCCCCAGAGATACACTACCCCAAACAGATCCCATTAGTCCTACTTTGTACCTCTTGCAGGATAACCAGAAAACTGAACTAAGCATCATCTCATCATGAGTATCTCCAGTAAACCAGGACAGCTGGTTTATGTGCTGACAACTCAGTAACCACAAACTGAGCAAAAGTCAGCAGGAAAGGCAGTTACACCAAAAGTCTGGCTGCTGTTAATAAGTCAAAATCGTGCCTTTGCAGAACAGGGAGTGTGGAAGAGTGGAAAACTATTTAGAAGACAATAGGACTGGAAACATTGAAGAGGCTGATGACACACAACTGTCCAAAACCTGAAATAACAAGTGCAAGTTGCATCCAATTTACTACAGCCCTGCAATAACCCGCTAGCTTTTGATACCAGACTAAGTTTTTCCATAATTCTCAGTCCTCAAGAGCCTTTCTGACCTTCCCATCCCATGTACCACACTCCTCCCACATCCTGCCATGCAACACCCCAGCTCCAGACCTTCAATGCAAGGAGAAGAAGACAAGATGCATCAATCTGACTTAAATTATTTTCTATCTGCATCTCTGGCTGCTGTTCTAGGCTCAAGGGTATCTCAACTGCACTTTGTTAAAGCCTGGTTTCGGGAGTCTGCTTGCAGCAATCTGCTCAGCTCCCTGTACTGCTTACCCAAACTCACTACGAAGATCTTCAGGGGTGCTCTAAAGGTGAGCTTTTATTTAGGCCCAAGTGATTGCATCCACGTAAAATAGTCCTGTATTTGGACTCAATAACAGGACTGAGTTTACCTGATCTAGCAGAGAGCCATGGCAGCATAGCCTCACCTTTGTTCAGCCTTGAATAATGTTGTCAAAGAGAACCAGCAGCTGGAGGCAAATGACCAGGCTCGCTCCACAAACAGACTAGAAAGTGCTGGCATGTCTGCAGTTGCTTCCTTCAGCCTCGTGTGCATGCCGCAGTGTGTCCCAAGGCATCAGCCAGCTCAGGGTTGAACTGTGCTCCTGATATGCATCGTAAATAGCACACAGAGAAGCTACAGAAGAGCTCTGCCCAGTCCCCGCAGATGCTCCAGCAGGGTCCCAGCACAGAGAGAAAGCAAAATGCGTAAAGAAGACCGCATGAACACCGCAACGTTTACAACCACAGCTGCTCCAGCAGGAATTGCCGTGCTCTGGCAAGGAGCACCAGTGACACGGGCACGGAGAGACGGGCTAATAACTCATTCGCATGCTGCCTCGAGCCCCGAGTGGACAACTAGAAAGCGGTCCCCAAAAAGAAGCCATTTGTATTTTGTACTGAAGGGCACTGTAGTGAAGCCAGGTTGAAACAGTCCCACATTTGAGGCAGAATTCCAGCACGTTTGAGAGAAGAAATGCTCACGTCATTGTCTCCCACATCGTTTACTGTACGCCTCAGGGTAGAGGAAAGGTCAGCTTCACCTCTCCAACCCTCTCCATTGGCTTCTACCTTCATGTCTTCCTCCAGACTTCAGAGACACGCAGGCTGGAGGACAGAATAAGCCTTTTTTATCTCCAAAGGCCTCACAGCATGGTAGAGGAGTCTCCCCTACTCTAACAAGTTGATTAGCAGACAAACCTGGACACCTCCACCCTGCAGCCATTGCTTTGCAGTCTCACTCTGTATCATCTGCTCAAGTCATCCCATATCCTTGTTCACTGCCCCTTCACCAGCCCTGCAGCAGAACAAAAATGTGAAAACAGGCACCCAGATACAGAATATAATCCCCATTTCTGGAGAAAACCTGAGCTTGATGGTACTAAGGCAGAGATCTAGAGCGGACAGACACACAGAGCTCTCTCATACTGGGGAACAGGAGAATATCCCTTTTTTAGAAACCAGTGAGTCCACTCATAGAACAGTTCGTTAACCCATGTTTAATGGTGTAAGACTGTTACTTGCATAGTACATCCAACATTCTTCATTACCTGTCCTCCTTCCCCAACCTCCGGGCTTGCCAGGCATGGAGTGGTTGGTCCATACACTCTTTAACCAAAGAAGAATTGTCATACAGAATGCAGCCTGGGCACTGGTCTGAGCAACACGTACCAAACAGCATCAAGGGTGCAGAAAGGCAATCCTAAAACCATTTGCCTCTGCACGCTCGCTTTTCATGAACAGAACTTCCTTTCTGGGCATACATCTTGGAAGACAAATCACTGCTGAACGTGACTGCTGAGAAACCATTTCCAGGTCTAAAAGGAGGGCTGTGCAAGAGATACAGTTTTCTATTGCAACCACAGAAAGCTCCCTGGAGAGAAAAAAAAAGGAAGTCTAGGGACTTCCCAAGACTAGTTGGTTAAACAGCAGAGCAGAACGAAACCTCACAGACACCATTTGCTTTTGGGGTAAGGCAGCTGGCACCTGCAGACACATCTCAGGCAGATCTCTGAAGACCTGGCACTCAGTTCTCACCCTCCTGCACTCCTACCTCTACCTCTAGACACCCTGGGCTTCCCCCTCACCCACCTCCCTGGATCCAGCAGCTCCCTTGAGCTCAGAGCTCCGGGCCCACACACAGCTCTGAACTCCAGCCCTTGCTCTCTCAAAGCCTGCCCAGGTGTAAAGCTCCAGCGATTCCTTTTTCTTTCCCGTTTTTCTCTCCCTCCTCCCTCTCCCCCTATCCCCACCAACCCTTGGAGGCCACACAGTGAGCGGGGAGCTTGGGGCACACGAGGACCACTGCAGCGGTCGTGCTGTTTCAGCCCCCCCCCCCCCCAACCCGGCACAATTTCTAAGAGCCATTTCTTACCCTCCCCTCCCCTCCGTGAAATGATTTCTGTTAATTGCCTGGTGGGAATCACTCATAGGTGGGGGACACTCTCCCCCCCAAACACCCACCCTGGCCCCTAATTGGCTTATTGAAGTTTTAACGGGGCTTTCACCTGGAGAAGCTGGTAATTATTCCCTTCATTCCCCTCTTGCTTGTACCTGTAGCTTCACACTTGGGGCCTGCCTGGCTCCGCGGGGGGGGGGCTTTGTTCCCTCTAACTACAGGCCCCACACAAATGGGCCCAGCAGCAGGAGAACACAGCAAAGTGGTAATTTTCAGCCCGGCGTAATTAGCCGAGGTTCTTTCAGCCCCAAGTGCTGAATGAGGAGGGGGCTGCTGGGGAGGGTGCGCCATGTGGGAACGCTGGGGACGGACGGGGGGCTGCTCTCGACAGGCGGACAAAGGCTTTTTGGGGCTGGGGAGAGCAGGAGGAGGGGGCTGGAGCGGGACAGCTCTGCCTGGCGGAGCGGGGACACGTTCAGCCCAGGAGGTCAGCTCATGATGTGCTTCCTTCCCTCAGCCTGCAGAGCAGGGCAGTGCGGGATGCCAAAAAATGCAGGGAAGGAGGAAAGAGATCCAGGGATGCACAATAGGAGCGTCTGAAGGGATGCGATGCATGACGGATTCTTGAAGGCTTGGGGTAGTGTCCGCCACCAGAGCAGGGTTTCTAGTCTAGTACCTTAGCGCTGAGACCGGGGAAGGCAACAGGCCTGGGGAATGAAAACTGGACACTGCAAGTCCCAGACAGAGTACCAAGAACTGTGCTAACGAGTAATGATTCTCATTGCAGAGAAGAGTCACTCACATCCTCCAGCATCTGCCCCAGAAGTCAGGCAAGAACCAGGAATCACGGGAGGACAGCAGTGAAGGCTCCAAGGTCTCTCTTTGCTGAGCCGCTTGCCATTAGCAAAGCAAAATTACTTTTCATAGGGAGACCTCGCTTATGCCAGCTACCTTTCTGCCACAAGCCTTTGGTTCTGCAAAACATAACAGGGAACATCACTTGTTGCCAACTGGCCAAAACACCTGGCTCCCAGTGCCTTTGCTGCTGCGCTGCACCAGACCGTGGCATCCATCGTCACACTGTGCCGCTGCTGATTGTCAAGACTTGTTAGCATTTATGCTTTGAATTAGCAAGTTATTTTGGGGCTAGGAATATTTGTCTTACTTGGTCAGCTGTAGACAAGTTAAGCTGGCTTAGCTGACTTGATGATTGCAGCTCCAAGGCAGTGGTGTCTGGTTTTTTGTTGTTGTTGGTTTTTTGATGGCATCAGAGCACTGACCAAGCCCTCAGAGATGGTACAGTCACAAAAAGGGAGATCCCCAGAGACTCAATACGTAGCAAGGAGACAGGCAGCACAACCCCTAGGGCACAGACTTGTAGTTTTCTAAGCTGCCTAAAGCTATACACGTAACTGTGATCCAATGCCATGGCTGGCTGCAAACTGGAGAAGCAAGTTGCATGATTCCACCCCAAAATACTCTGGTTTCTCTTCAGATCATATTCATTCAGATCATATGCATACTCCAGTTGTCATAACTTCGCTGAAAAGTCTAAATACGTGCCCATGTGTAGCAAATGCTCAAAGAATCACGATGCAAAACAAGAAAACCTCTATTTTGAAAATATCTTTCTATTTTTGAAGCTTCATGACTGCCAGTGCCGATCCCAATTTTCAGACGTGACTGGCAGAGGTTTCAGTAACAAGTATTCTTTTTTAAAAATGCATATATAATAAGAGCGTATCTAAGCTTTTCCATTAGAATATATGACAGAAAATGACTTTTCAATAAGCCAGCAATCCTCGCATGCCAGGGAGGTCAGGGGGAGGGGAGAATCCTTTCAGTTTTGCCAGAACAACTAAAACCCAAGAATGTTTCAGTTTAAAGGTAGGGGTGGGAAGGAATTGGTTTTCCTGGTGCCACGAGGCACCCATTATTTTTATCTTACTTCTTTTCCCATACAGACACACTCACGCACATCCCAAATTCAAACTTCCCAGTTTAGGAGAACACTGAAAGAAGTGGTCAGGGTGGTAAGGAAAAGGAGGACTTCTCAACCAGTACATACTTTCATCATCTTGCCACAAAAGGCAGTTCTTATTCCACATCACGCAGAGGCAGAAGCTGTACCTGTTCACATTTATAGAGGAAAAAAGCCCAATCACGTAAATAACGGAGTGCTAGATCATTCCCCTCTGCTCTACAATATTCCAATAATTTCCAAATTAAGTCTAAAGGAGCTATTCTTATCCTGCAGCGGAGGGGAGGGGAGGAAAATGCTGCTCAGAGGGTTTTAAGAAGCTAAAGACCAGGCAAGGTGAAAGGGGAGAAGTGTATGTATGCGCCACATGCTGCACGCAGAGAGGTCCAGGACACTGAGGCATGGAGACACAGGTGCTTTGTGGAGGAGGCAAGCAAAGCCTCATCTGCGTTTAACTCAGCCATGAAATGACTCCTCGAGCTTTCCTGCTCTGATCGTTTCAGCCCCGACACGGACACGCTTGCAGCAACCTCAGTTCATTTGCCCTTAAAGCTCTAGGCAGCCTTCCCCTCGCCAGCTCTCCACTCTGTGCACCACGATTTGCTCCGAGGTTTTCATGCTAAGCATTTGGAGCATGTTAACTGTTTGCCCCTAAGTGGCCAGGATCCTGGATAAAGCCTCTCCATCTGCAGGTTCTCCATCTGCACGCTTGGTTGCGAGCAAGCATCAGAGTGAGAAATAAAAGCCACCAGAATGGACAGCCCCAGCCCTGTATGCAGAAAAAGGCACGCAAGATTTCATTAAACAACCAGGAAACACACATCTAAGGCATAAGGATGTTTAGCAGCTGCTTCTGACACAGCTCCTGAACTACCCAAAAACCTGGTGAAAATGTTTTGCAAGAACCAGAGCTCAAACCATCCTCAAATCACTATACGATAAAACATGGGTTTACAGCACAGGCTTTAGTATCTGGAACAACATTTACAAAATCTTCAGTATCTGTCACAGCAGGCTGGGCAGCAAGGCAGGCCAAGAACTGCCAAATTTGGGTAATAACTGAGATTAGGCAGATAAAGATTAGAAAAGGATCAGGCAAAACAAATGCAGTAGAAAAAGGGAAAGGACAAGGCAAGACAACAAGGAATAATTTATTACGAGGCTTAAAGACAGCATAATGAAAATAAACAGGCACAGAAAATGGAGTAGGAGACAAAGAGTCCCACTGAAGGGGACCGGAAAGAAACCCCTTCAGGAACATACCTATGTCTGAAACGGAATGGAGAATTCCCTAAAACACGCCGTCCTCTGACGTTAAGAAATATCTGATGAAGGGATATGAAGGACCCCCCTGCCTCCTGCCCCTCAGTAAATTGCTCTCTAGACGAAGCAGGACAAGTGCTGGCAGTCAGTCCTCCAACACTGCAAGGAGCAGAAGTCTGGAAGCTCTACATCCACATGCAGCTTTGTGGGCAAGAGTGTGAAACCACAGTTTCCTCCTTTCCCTTCCGTGGCCTGACCGATTCCCATGCACTCGGAGAGTTTAGGAAGTCCCATCCAAAAATACAGTATTAAAAGAACCCTTTTTTTCCTGGTGAGTCAAACACCCACGTGAAGACATGCCAGAACCAAACTTGCTCACACGTTCCTCCACTGAAAGGGCCGTTATTAAAATGTCAGCATTCGATTCTGCAGCAAGTTCGGAGCGTCCCAGCTGAAGCTGCTGCTGATCTTTATCAGGTGGATACACAAGGGACAATTACACGACCATCAGCTCAGGGTATGCTGCGTCTCTGTGGAGTCCAGCCACGGGCTGCACTGGGAGGAAACGGTGAGCTTACCACATCTCAGGGATGTGAAGTCCATTCCAACAGCGAGTACTCTGAACAGTCACATTTTGCCACTGCTAAGCTGAAAGCCATCAATACTGAAGTAAGGAATGGCTTAGGGAAAACACTAAAATCATAAAAAGAGCATGAGGTATACAGAGACCGTCAGAAGACAGGTGCTAGAGAAAAATTACTGCTTTTCTAATTTCTGGCTCCCTGCTTCTCCACAAAGAGGATAAAATCCAGTGGAGATGCATGGAGAAGGAAAACATGACCTTGGCCACATGCACTAATTGATACTCCGATTAAGACTTCAAATAAGAAGCAAGAGAAAACCCATTCCACCAAACAGTCCTGCTCCATCCCCACCCCTCATTAAATCTGTCTGGATAGATGAAGCAGGTCACTACACAAAGCACAGGTGCAAAACTCACAGCAGCTGCACCAGGAGGCAGAGACCAAGCACAGCAAAGGCAGCAGTTACTGCTTGGTCCAGCTCAGTCTGTAATTGCTTCCTCTCATCAGTTATTTTTTCCTTAGTCTCCTTTTCTTCTGCTTTTTTGGGGCTGTGTGAGGGAAGGGAGGTGCACACACCAGACCTCTTTTTCCTCCTGAAAAAAACAAGCTGTTGGGTTCTAGTTTGAAAACCCCTACCCAGCCCCCACAATAATAAATCTCTGGGACTATCAATCACCTTGGTGCAGGTTTCTCTTCTCAAAGGAAATGGGCTCTCTCTCTTCATTAGCTGCCCATGTCTACAAACCATAGCAGGACCTCATTTCAAGTCCTCTTTGATGGACGGCTAGACTTAGAGGAACATAGACCTCAATCTCAGAGGAGAGACGGCAAAGATTTACTAATTAGGCAGGACAATGCACATTAAAAGCTGGCTTTAACACCTGGCCCCAAATTAGCACTACACTTGTGAAATGTCAGGATTTCTACAAAGCTGTACAAGTATATCCCACAAGCAGGCATGTGCAGAGATGATGAGTGGAGCATCACAACCCCTCCACAGCTCTTTATAGCAAGAAAGTGGTCACAGTTTTTGTGCTTCCTGCAGGTGGGAGGGAAGGTACAGAAGACCTGACAAATTCTAGAGAACGAACCACAGGACACAGAGGCAACACCACAAAGAGAGAACAGACTTCCCAATCTGCCTTCCAGTCTGGAATGCTCTCACACTGCTCTGAAAGAAAACCAGTTCAACGTGGCCAAGGAGAGAGTCACAGCCACACACTTCTGTCCGTGTATTTCCAGTGTCCTGCACCACTCACGACAGAGATGCAGGATGCCAAACATTCCTGTTCTTCAGAGGAACTGGTCTCCTTTAAACCTGCCTACCCTGTCCCAGATATATGTTCCTCTCCAAAATCCAGCCTCTCTGGTCCCTCTCCCATCTCCTCTCTACCTCCCCTAGTGTTTCAACAGCAGCTTGCTTTACTAATCTAGAGCCAGACTGCTCCCAAAGCCATCAAACTATCAACGGCATAGTTTAACTGAAGGCCTGAGACACACCAGGCTGTGGCCAGATTTCATTTTTGAACACATTTCTGTGTGTAGGCTTAAATGCCTTCAAGAATGAGGATGCTGAATGCTCTCTGATTCCAGGCTAATAAGCATGACAAGTATGTCCAGGCATGATGAACACAAAGCACCATTTAAGAGGGTTTGCTTCACCTTTTCAGATAGCCACTAGCTGGAGTGTGCATGGGGACATGAGGAAGACGATTGCTTTACAAATGAATCTGCAGCTTCCAGCCTGTCTGCCTCAGGTTTGACTTCTCCAGATGCTAAAGCCAGGCTGTACACTAGGTATGACATATTATACAGATGAATCAAGCAAATGCTTTTGTGCTCAGAACTACGGGCAGAAAGTACACATCAATGGGACTTTTAGCCTTCAAACCCTAGTGGTCAGACCTTGCAAACTCCTATTTACAGGGTCACAATCTGTTCCCATGAGTACTGAGTGCATCCCCTGTCAGGGTTCAGCATGGACATAGGCTACAGGTTTATAAGCTCTGCTATCTCCTGTGTATACGCAGAAGTTGACTCATTGCTCAATGGGAACTGATGGAGGTGCCAAAATTCAGCAGCAAGGGTTAAGTTAGAGATTTGCATTTAAGAATTCTGTAAATTCATATTGTCTACAAACTCATTCTGGGCATGCAGATGACAGAGTCAGCCCA